GTGCTCATGGGGCTGTGTGCCGCCATGCATATTCATCCTGGCTGCTTTTGCTTTGCAGCACTCCTGTCAGTTCAGAGATGTCACTCATCAGGAAGGTATGTGAAAAGGCAGTTTATGTAGTAATATTGGTTTTGTTTTTGATAAAGCCTGCTGCTGATCAAGCTCTCCTCAATATGTCAGCTTCAGAATGAATATTCATACAATGCAGAAAAGCAGGGAAACTCACTAGAGTAGAAAATTTTTCTGGTTTTCAAAAAGCTGTTGTTTTCTTCTATCACTGCTCACACAACCTGTAGTCCACCCTGCAAACAGGCAAAATCTCACAGGCTATTTGTATGCTTCAAAAGACCACAGAGGTGTTAGGCTCCCAGAGTCCCTTGGCTGCCCTGCAGCAGAGCACTGGCAACACTGGAGCTAGCCTGGTGTGCCTTGGGTGAGAAGTTTGCCTGTAGGAGATGAGTTTGCAACATATATGCAGCAATGCACAGTGGAATGCACAGGAGACCATCCATTTTTCTTAAAGCTGCAAGGAAAATGACACCAAGGAACCTTGTGCAGACAGTTGCCAGCGTGGAGAGACAGCAGTCCCTGAATGTCAGTTCATCCTTTATGGGGATTCCCACAGTTCATAGTCCTTTCAAGGATAAATTTCATCCAGCTCTGCCTCCATTTAAGAATATCTTGTATGAAAAGATAGAGACTTTTCTCATTTTCTTACATTCAGTCATATGCCTACTAAAGCCCTACACAAGCGAACCATATGTACGGGCCACCTCTGTACTAAAAAATTAAAGAAATTCTTAGAATTTTCCTCATCAAGCACAATCGTTTGGAAAAGATGTACGTACACACAACAAATCAGCTTATTATACCTCATGTAGGCATCGCATATGGGCAAAAGCCAAGTGTTTCACAATGAAAGCTGTCTTCCACATTCCTGGTGCCATTGGTGGTACTGAATCCAGTCAAAAGCAGACATACTAAAGGTAGTGCAAACACATGTGACAGATGTAGCATATATAAAGACCCCAAAAATAACTGCAGAACAAGGCAAGCTCTCCAGCACTTTCATCTTAAGTTGAGCCTACAGTAAGCATATGTTCAGGGTCTGTGTTTGGTGTGTGTAATCTGTGCTTGAGAAAAGGGCACAGGGGCATTGTCACAGTAATAAACTCAATTAGTACACAGACTGCTGATTTTTTCATGCAGGCAATTAAACTGAAAAAAAACCCAAACCACCAAAATAGTGGCTAGACTAAAATGGATGATGTGCTGTGCAGGTTTTGCATTGAATATCCTGGATTTACTTTAAGGACATTCTTTAGAGAATATTGATTGGGATTTTCAGGGGTGGCTAAATGACTTAAAAGAATAACTCCCATCGACTTGTTCCACTGTACAATGAAATAAATCAATAAGGCTTGTTCTCCCTGAGCTATTTAGGGCAAAACCCAGTAAAGGATTCAGGTACTCTAACACCTAACTTTTGGGATTTGTTCCTCACTCTGAAGCCCAGGACATTAAGTTCTGGCCCACCTCCATTGGACATAGGAGTGTCAGCCACCTCAGAAAGGAGCTGGATGTTTAGTAGGAAGCATGCTTGGAAACTGTGATCTCCAAGCTACCTAGAAGACTGAAGGCAGGGACCTGCTTTAGCTCTTGTTCCTCTAAGTCTCTGCCACACCACTCTACTCACCGCTCTTCCTGGCAGCTCTCTCCCTACTGAGAAGGGCACATCCAAACATCTTTTCTTCTTGGGGACAATAGGCTACAGTCTTGACGATCCAATGAATCTTGAATATTTTGTTTCACAGTTGCAGAACTTTGGCAGGAAAGAAGACTTCTACTCCTCGTGGGGTACTTTGGGCACTCTCTACTAGGAGACTGGAAATGTCATGTTGGTCTAGCCAGTTTCAGCATAGATTTGGGTGTTTGGTTTTTTTTTAAGATACCCAGAAAGGGGAACCAAATCATGAAACTAATCGATTAATCTGTAAGAGATGGCAACAGCACTTGCCAGAAGTATAATTCAAGAGGGAGGCACATTTCATTATGTATCAGGTATTTTCAAAGACCCACTCAGTAAGACAGGTCTCACAGAGGATCTAGGGCAAGAAATATGTACTTTCTGATATCCAGGTCAATGTGGGAGGGGAAGAGACATGAAGCAGTTCCAAGGAGAGAAGTGCAACTTGTGCCCAAAAGCAGGAAACAGCCTCAAACAAGGTGGAGCACCTTGTAAGTGGAGGTGCTGCTAGGGTTAAGTGTGAGCTGACTGCAGCATTCCTGGATTGGAATTTTTGTACTTAAGTCCCTTTACTCCGTTTGGGTCTGTTAGAGCTAATAATGTCCTTTATTGGTGCTAATTATTATCCACTGCTGGCAGTGTGTCATGCAGGGGGGAAGTCCTGTATTTAACATGCAATGGAGTTACTGCCCTGAGTCAGAATCTAAAGCTTCATAAGAGGATTGTGCAGGCAGTTATATGAGACTGATACGCCCTCTATTTTGCTGATGCAAATAAATCCTTAAGTGACTCTGGTGACAGTATTCTGAGAGAAGGAAGTAAAGAGAGCTTGCCAAAGCATCTGTATTTCTCTTGTGCTTTATAGAAAAGACATATGGATCTTCATAGAAAATTATAACCTCCTCAAACAATATAATAGGTAATTATATTCCTGACATAGAATTTTTTTAGCACATTGCATATAAGTATCCTTGTTCAGTTCTGCAGTTTTCTAGAGTGCCCTGTTAAATCTCTTCTTCTCATCCCTTTTAAAACCCCAGAACTTTTACATCAGAGACCTCAGAGTTACCCTCCTTTGGTCCTAACAGACCTATGTGCATCCACCCCAAGTATTTTGGAGGCATACCCTCCCCATCACTCTCAGAGGGGCTGTCTCACACAGGTAACTCCAGTCTTGCCTGGAGACCAACACCTCCGGCTGGGAGCCGTGCAGCTACATTCCCCCCCCCACTGAGGCTGAATTCATAGGCTCAGCACAGCAGGGCACAAACATAGCCCCCCACTGTCGTCTCCACAGGCAGCTTGGAAAGGGCACTGTAGGCAGAGCACTCATGGGATTTTCTGCCCCCCAGTCCCAGTTGCTGTGCCCACTATGTTGGTTCTGAAAATTGCTCATGCCTTGGAAAATTTTGTCAGACGTGTTTGCCATTCCTCCTCCACACCCCTTCCAAAGCATGTCATGATTGATGCCCAGGCCTTTTATGAGGATACGTTTTTTTCAAAGCACTGTATGGACATTAACTCATTAAGAAATTACAATTGTAAATACCTGAAACCTCTTTAGGGTTGCTCCATTGTAACCCAAAAATATCACATGTAATTTTAGTGATACTTGCTCACTGATTATTAAAAAGAAATTCCCCAAGGCTGAAAAGCTGGATGGGAAATTGCAGCTGCAAATTAATTAAAATAATCAAACAAGCCAGAGGTAACTCCCACAGAAAGAGGGCTGCTTATAAAGGCAATGTTAATAGAGAATTTACCATCAGGGGTTGCCTGGTTCCCTTTTAATAAAGTATCTATGATTACCTGATTAGCTGATCATTGTGCAGAGAATTTTGTTCTCAATACAGCTGTGAAGACAAAGAAGAGGGAGGTTTTTATCAGAGCTTGTTTATTTAAAATGTATAATTGACTCCTTTTTTTTACAGAAGCATGATCCAACAAGCTGCTCACCTCCAACAATACATACTGCTCCTCCTCTCTCCAGTCTGAAATGAGACAATTTTCTGTCACATGCTTATTTTAGCAAGGTTACTATAATGATCTGGAATAAAGGTAGAACATTTCAATGGGTTTGAGAAACTAACCTTTAATGTTTAGAAGCGGTCACCATCCATTATGGTATTACGCTAGTCATATGCCATCATGCTAGACTTACGACAACATACCAGCTGTGGTTCTGCCCCCGCATGGTATTATTGGAGAAATAAACTAGTTTGGTTTGATAATATATGAGAAAGTCAAAATATGGTCCACATTTTTCAGTGCCACTCACATTTTTAAGGGTGCTTCTTGTGCAGGATACTGGAACACCAATAAACTCGAAAAATTCAAAGAACACATGAAAACTAGACACCTTATGGATGTAACTGTATATTTATTTCTTTTTAAAGAACACTCCTTAAATGTATTTTAAGTCCATATACAAACTTGTTTTCACAGATTTATAATTCACTAAATAGCACAAAATATAATCCAGGTCGTTGATTTCTTTCATCTGTGCGTATGCATGCGTGTGTTTGAGTGTGTGTGTGTGTGTGCGTGCGTGCGTGCACGCATGCTGCTGGTGGTAGTGGTAACCCACCACACGTATTCAAACACAAGCCCGGGCTCCTCCTGACTTTTCTTTGGAGCAAACCTTGCCCAGATGAAGACCCTACTCTGGAAGACTGTGACTCTCTTGCCCATGAATCCCATTTCAGAAGAGGCCATGGTGGCGGTGCTCTCTGCCTTACCAGCAGGGCCACACACCTTCATCCACCAGACAAGATGGAAAAGAACAGAATGGGAGCCTCCCCTGAAGCTGACCCAGGTACTGTAGTTGGAAGTGACCAGCCGTGGAGTTCATGTGCAAGGAAACACCTTTTTCTCCACTCCAAACACCTCAATGACACTCCCGTGCACTTAATCAGGAGTGAATATGCCGCTTGGTCAGCCCTCACTAGCAGGGGACTGCCAGGGCTTGGCAGGGCACCGTGTGTCCAGCCAGCAGGCCGGCTCCTCGCCCAGCCCTGTGCGGCCGTAGGGGCCTTGCTACCCTGCTGCTGGAGGTCAGGGAACGGCTCATGACACTGCTGGACTCTGCCTCCCGGCAGTCAGCGGTGCCCCGGCTCCAATCCTGGAAGCACCAGCATAGCAAACCTTGCCGGTCCCGGTGAGCTACACAGATGGCACCAGTGATGCACATATTTACATGGGGTGGAATGTTTTCCCATAGCTTTTTTAAGGAGTATATAGATCAACGTTCACATAAGACCAAATACTTTTAATATATTTATAACTGTTTTATAAAGCTTTGAAAAAACTCACAATAGCACATTGTTTTACTTTAATGCTTTACGGTACTATCAGTTTAAAATCACAATCAGCACTTAAGTTATAGTCAATCCGGCAAACAAGAGACAAAAAAAAATTACAAGAGTTAAGAACTGACTGATACATCCTTTATCTTTTTTTTTTTAACTAATGCATAAGTGCAGAATAAGATAAGATACTCTAGTTTAAATATCTTGTTTTACAATATACATTTTGTTCTAATTACGCAACAGTAAATCCCATGCTTCACATAGAAAAGCAATCCACAACATTAAGAAAAAAATTTACAATTTATGAAACAAAGTAAATAAATATTAGTATTACAGAATCAGAGCTGTACATAAAAGCTGTTCAGTTTTAATCATATAAAAATATGTTTTAGTGCAACCTCACATATATTGATGCTGTTCTGTTTTACATCATTTAGATCCAAGTGTCCAAAAAAGGAAAGAAATTACATTTATTACAAAGCAGATACACAAATTCTAAAATATGTACAAATTACTGCTAAAAAAATGCTTATAAGAATATAAGCAAAGTAAAGAAAAGGCACAAACATCTGTACAATTTAAAAGTACCAGACCCAATAAGAATTTCAAATTTAGTTTTGGTCAGGCTCATGATGACTTGTTACTTTATCTAATTCTTTTGATATAACAAAAGTATATATAATAGCAAACTACTGTAACTTAGAACAGGCATGCTGTAAAGTTGAATACTTCTATCTCTAGGAAAAAAAATGGTGGTGTAAATGTATGGGTGAAAGTCTCCATGCATCTCAGATCAATGTGGCTTGCTCTTCTCAGATGACAGATCTTTTCTCTCCTGTGTGCTTGATGGGGGGTCGCTCCTGCTGTGAAAGCCCAACTGCCGGATGTCCACAAAGCTCTTGCTGTAAAAGGTGGGATGGGCTAACACAGTCTGTGATGTACCAAAACTGTCCTGCTCACCACTGTGCAAGTCAGGATGGGTGGCTGAGGCACAGGTCTGGCCTGGCTCAGATCCACTAAAGTGTTTAATGCTAAAATGTGCACTTTCTAAGGGTTTCTGGTGAGGCTCAGAAGGCCTCTGCAGCTGCTCTGCCCCGTGCAGAACGGCTTCTTCTGTGGCGATTCGCAGAGAGGCTATGGCTTTTGTACAAGTCTGTATGTTCTCCTCCTGCTCCCTCTCGGTAGCCACGACACTGTCCTCCGATGTGCTCTGTGTCAGCAACAGCAACGGCGAGGAGGGCGTGCTGGAGGGAGTGCTGGGGTGCAAGCTGTGCGGAGAGGTACGTTTCTCATGGTGCTTAGAAATACTATATGATTCTTTTGTAAGGGTTTCCACAGTTCCTCTTTGCTTCTCCTCAGAGATCTCCCTCTGCAGGGCCAAAGTGGACGGAGAATGTAAACCTGAAAGGGCCATGGGTACCGAGTGGACCATCTGGATACCCCCAATAGGCATCATGGGGATAGGTGCTCGGATCTGTTGCTGGGAGTGTAGTGGAAGATGACTGAAGACATAGTCACTCGGACCTTCAGGGAACAGGCTAGACCTGCGGTGCTCCATGCCTCCTTTTTCTCCATATATGTTGAAGTAAGGTGCCTGAGACAACCCCCTTCTCTGTAACCAGAAAAAAAAAAGAAAAGAAAAAAAAAGAAATGTCAGCACTGCTACTAGCAGAATTCTTGTCTGGCTGCCAAACCACCTATCTGCTTTCCTGCCTAATACAGCCTCCCTTTCATGAAGCACCTTTCATGCAGATGGATCCCAAAGCATTTGGAAATGCACTAATTGCATATCCAAATAACAGAGGAGGTTTTGCTCAGCTCAGATCTACAGGGCTCATGCCTCTGAGGTGAAAGGTAGCTGCTAGTTAAGAGAGCTCAGCAACAAAATGCAGCAATTTAGGTCAGGAAGTGAAGAGTATTATATTCAACTGAAACTTTGAAGAGAATTTGGGGTAAACAGATTTTCATTCCCCCAGAGAAATTTAGCCTGGAGATCCATCTTATCCTCATTTTTGGAAAACTGTGCTGGCATTTGCAGTCCACACTGGGTATCAAGACTTTGTTGCAGAGAAATACACATCCAAATGCCCCCTGCTTACTGCCTCTGCTTGGCATAATGGAGAAAATCTGATGGCGTGTAAGTATTTTCTGCCTTCTGAAAGATTCTGCTCTTGAGCCCCAGAGAAGGCACTTGCTCCCTGTGAGCTTTACCCAATCCCTGATGAAAGGAGGTGGGTATTTTCATGGAAGTTCAAGTGCCTCTGTGCAATGAAGATACAAATTTTTCCAGTTATTGAGACAATGAAGAACCATTCTGGCCTATCTGCAGTGTAAACAATAAATAGTAACAAAAGCACAGGCTTTGCTGTGAGCAAAAGCGATGATTCTGTCCCAGGGAGACTCACCCACTCATAATGGGACTGAGAAGAATGGAGGATTTTGTGATGGCTAATAAAAGCCAATCTTGCAATATTGACATTTTCAGTGCCTTCCCATTAGTTCCTGCCTTGGAAGAATGAATAGTTCTATCTCCACTCAGTATTAAATATGCCCTGGGCTTTTAGGTTTTTTTTTTCATTCTTAAGTTTTAAAAATTGTTTGCTATCTGATGATTAATTACCATTTATTGTTGAACAGAGGAACAATGATTACAGAAGTGCAGGATGACATTTTCATAATTACGTGTGGGATTTGGCCACACAACTCTCGGGGCCTCTCACATGAAACTGAATGAACAAAAATGCTCATCTCTGCTCTGTAAATTGACCAAACACCAATCAATTGCCCCAAAGCTCTAACACTACCATAGCCTTGGTGCAGCAGCCCAAGGACTATGGTGCTAAATGCCAACACATTAAAGTGGCAGCACTTCACTGCTGGAAAATCCCAGCTCTCAAGGCATTAAGCAACCTCTTGATCCCATCCCAGGGAGCTGGTTTAGGGGGCAATTAAAGATTCAGTTTCTGTGCTACCCAAGGGCTCAATCTCACTGTGCTCAGATGCTTTGTCCTGTTTAATATAAATCAACACTGAGACAGGAAGGGTGACCCATAATCATCAGACTCGAACTTCAGAGATGTTATTTTTCAGAGACTAATCTATGTTGGGAATTTTCCTATTCAGAAAGTGAGATGCTTGAGTCTCATAAAAGAGAAATTGTCATAAGAAAGCACAGTGACAGCACATTATACTGCTGAATGGGGAAAAATTTACAAAATAAACTGCAGTTGCCAATAAACTGCATAAGACTCAGTTAACCTACCCTGTCAGTCCTTCCTATCACTAACCTCACCTCTGCATAGCTACTTGCCCCCTATTTTTTTCTCCATCTTTGCTCTGTCAACTCGTTTCTCAGTCATACTGTCCTCTTGGATGTTTCCTAAGCCACGACATTTATCACTATTGCATCTGATGTGAACCTGGGCTAAGGGAAATTGAGTAAAAGCAGCCAAAAAAAAAAGAGTAAAACTCATCAAAGAACAAACCTAGTCACACACAAATCTCTAATTGAGAAAGACATTGGCTTCATGTTTTACCCTGCCCAGTTTCAAAAGGGAATAGAGCAAGAGTCTGTCCTTGCCAGACAGAGGTGGCTAACATGATAGAAACTGCTACACACTTTAAGATCAGCAGTATCATCCAACGCATGTCTCATATGCCCAATTTTTACATAGACAGTGGCAGTCTGTGCATGTCCACTGGACACCTCCTAAGCCTGGCTGAGTACATATGGGATTATCTTTCTCTAGCTCTGGCAGGTAAGTTTGGAAACAGACAACATAAATTGTTACAGGCACTAATAACTGTTCTGACCTCTTACCCTGCTTTTATTTCCTTTACCAGTATCTAGCATTTTCATACCTACAAGCAGACACACATATACATATTCATGGAAAAAGACTGTCTTTTTTCAACAAGCATCCTGAAAATCCAAAGACTTTATTCGGTTGACAGGGCAAGTATTAGATCACAGAGCACAGCGCAGGAAGTCACAATATCTTTTTGCAGTGCAAGCAGAATGGGTTGCTGCCAGTGCTGTGAGGTTGCTGCCATGCTTCCTCTCTTTGTCAGGTGATGGGAATCCAGTTTATTTCCTATTAATTCTCATTTGTTACAGATTAGCGTATTTCCCTTCAACTCCAGATGACATATAATTTCCAAAGCAACAATACTCTGTAGTAGCTTTTCATGAAACGTTCTGACCTGGTCATAAAGTTAGACTTTCACATCACACCCCTGAGCAAAGGCATATCCAGCTTCACAGGTCCCCCAGAATGCCTCAGGGATGAGATAGGGTTTACCCTGTATCTGGTACATCACCCAAAACAGGCTGTGGGAGATCCAGAAGAAGATCACATTTCAAAGCCATGCATCCTTCACAGATGTTCTCTGGACAGCCTCAGACTACAGCTTGCAAAACGATGTTGGATGGAAAACAGTGTCTTTGATTACTGTATCATAATGTACTTGAGGGTTTTTAAAGCTAAAAATCAAAAAACGTTGAACTCTGTAGTGAAATTCAACAACAGACCATATTACCGATGTGTTTTCTGAAAGACATGATGCTTAATAAAGTGACTAAAACTCTGTGTGGACTTCAGTTTCAGGATCAGCTCAATTTGCAGCCCTACTGAGAGTGCACCATAGTAGCCCAGATACCTCAGTGGACCTATTTACAGTTTACCTGGACTTCAGAAGTGGCTGGCTCTCTGTACAAGAACTTATTTCACTCAAGATGATAAAGTAGTGAGTATTTGGGAAGGGATTTAATACCCATATCTGGGATGAACAAAGGACCTTAAGTCCTATCAACTTTAAAGTGGTTATAGAAGTGCTTAACTCCCTTCATCCCTTCTGAATATATCAAGACAGGCTTTGGACTTCAAAATAAATAAGATGAGGAACAAAATGGCAACACAAGCAAAATGCACTACCTCCTAGAAGCTAAAACAGTTGCTAGAGTCAAGTCTGTACCACTCACAACAAGATATATTCACAATCTCATGGTATCTAGTCCTGGGGCTGAAAGAAGAGGCAAAAGCTCTGGTCTGCACTAGGTAGCAGAGGGATGCATTAAGACTTGGCACAAACAGGAATGGAGTGAAACTGTTGGTGCTGGATGCCATACACACAATACAAATGTAGTGGGCTTGGAAGGGAAGGTTTCTTTGGATTAGTGCTATGCGGTCTCTTTTCACTCACTTGAATGGCCACTCACAGTTCTAGTGCACCTGCTGCACTCCTGGAGAACATTTTTTCAGTTTAATTTCATCTGACAACAATCCAGATCACTTACTCCAAGACTGCAATTTGAGTCAAAGCACAATAAATGTGACAACAGAGACATATGCCTGATCCAAAATAAAATGGCAACAGAGATTCACTCAGGGTGAACAAATGCAGCCTTCCTATTCCTTCTCTTTCTCTCAGGACTGGCAGAAAATGACTGGGGAGAAGAATCGAAGCCCTCCAATAATAGCATCAACCTCCTCAGAAAGGAAAGAAACCTCTGGCATTCACAGAAGAGGAGACCCCAAATTTATTTAGAGAGCAGAGAGTATCTGCCTTTAATTTTAAAGACATCAATTTAACTTGTCAAGGCCAAGTGTGCCCCAGCATAAACCAGAGCCTTAGGCTACTTTGGAGAGAGTATTGTCTGTCAAAGGAGAGAGTATTAACTGTCAAAGGAAAAAAAAGTGTATTTTTCAGGTACTTTCCCTGTGCTCTTTTCCACTTCCTAAAGAAATAATTTCAATTGCTTTCTATGTGATGCTTTCAATGCCAGAACACTTCACAAGCTCTTTGCACAAGACCACCAAAGTGCATGGACATTCAACACGAAGCAACGTGAAGGGGAACTAGACCAGCATTGGCCAAAGAGACTAGAGCAAATAAATCAACTTCAGTGGAGAAGAAATAAAACTGGCCTCTTCTGGGAACTGCAGGCACCAGAAGCACAAAACAACTCTTATTCCTGCAAGGACTGGGAACCCAATGCAGCCCTTAAAAATATTGTGAGGATTGTAAGCTGGCATGTGCATCACTGATGCAGCTGCTAATGATATTCTGATTTGCTAGATTTCACTACTCCGAAAGTGAAAACCAGTCTTTATTCCTTTTTCTTCTCTGACAGCTTTCATTTATAGCAGCTCAGGTGTTATTTGTCTTCCCACACACTTAGTGTAACAACTTGTGTCACTTAAACTCAACTACTGTTTGGCTAAAGTACGTCTTCCAGAAAGGCATCAAGAGGTGAGGAATCCGTCCTTCCTTCCTTGCAATTGTTTGTTGTGATGGGCAATCATCCTCACTTGTCATTTTTTCATTTAAATTTTCCTGGGCTCCACTTTTAGTGATGCCTGTATTAAGGTCACAGTGACTCTACTGAGATCTGGGCTTCCCTCTCAAAACACTCAACAAGCCACTGAGCTACTGATGATTTCTGTAAGACAATTGACTTGGGTTTTCACTGCCACATGACTGATCCTACCTCAAAAATAAGGTAAGTGTTAGAAGTCCATCTGGCGTGGTGGACTTTTCAAAAGAAGGAGCTAAGAGTGCTAAAAAAGTCCTTACAATGTGCTAAACACCTTGCTGGAAAATGTTAACAGCAAGAACTGTCAGATGACCAAGGACGACTGTTAGCGTACCCTTTTGCTAGTATCATTACACATCCAAAATCTCTACTACAGGATGCCAGTGTGTCTTATGTGGGACATGAAGGACTGGGGGACCCTGCACAATGTCAGCTGTAGCATCCCATATAATCCCATCCATTTGATACTAAGACATCAGGACAGTTAAACTGGTGGCTCTTCATCCTCTTGAGCTTCCTCACTTTGCCAATAGAACTGCTGATGGGATTTGTATCCTCTTTCAGCTATGCACTGGTCGCTCCTATGAGAGTGCAGCAGGGTTTCAGTGTGCCCTTCCTCATGGACCACTTTTAATCAGCCACCCCTCTCCAGCTTGCCCAAGCTGAACCCACACATACAGGCTGAGGAGGCAGGCAGTGAGAGGGCAGCCACAACATCAAACATGGTGAGGGAAGCATAGTAAATAAATAAGCAAATGCATTTATAGTAAGGCCATTCCTTATCTTTAAAGACCAAATCTATTTGTGAAGGGAGTGCTTTGTGAATGGTAGAGCTGGTCAAAAGTGCCAATCTGGTAGTTACTGAGAACTGTTTTACTGAAAGGGAACAGCACAGACAGCAGTTGTGCAAGTTTTGCATATTTCCACCCAGACGGTTGTGTCCCTGTTGGAACAGCCAGTTGTGACGGCACTTTCTGTAGGGCAGACAGCTGCCTGCTCCTCTCATACAATAATATTCTTAAAATTCCAGCTACAGATCCTGATTTCAATGGGCACTCTGCTTTTCTGAGAGGTTTCATTTATCTTAGCATTTTTATTCCATTAAACAATACTCAACAATGGGGACTAAACCTCAGAGACAGGGCCTTAAGCCTTGATCTTGGCTTGATCCCATCTAATCTTGGAAACAGAAGATTTTTTACAGTGCAGAAACAAGCCTCACGCACCATGTAAGCTTCCATTTAAAAAATGACATTTCATAAATATGGAGAGAGAAAATGCAAACCAGCCTTATTTTATTGAAGCTAATGGAGCTACTCAGGGTTGTACCAAGTGAAGACTCAACCCCCTATAGTCTGACTCTAGTGCATCCAATTGAATCAGCATCCTGACTTGGTCACTGTCTATTCCAAGTTTCTTGCATTTGTTTCAGGACTTTCCACCAAGGCTCAAAGTTTAAGCCTTCTTCTTCTACAAAGCTGCAAAGATTTTTAAAATGCTGTGCATAAATTCGGTAAGAGCACTGTTTTTGATAAGAGGAATGAAAATATTCTTTCATACTTACTGAATGTCCCACTGGAATAGATTCAGACTGTAAATATTGACCCATGGACAGTGCTGGATTATGGTATAAGCCCCTCCGGGGAGATGCCGCTCTAACTGAGGCCATATATCTCCTCTCTCGCCTAGGAGACAAATCTCTTCGAACAGATGTATCTTTCCCTGGTGACATTGGTCTCCTTGGTGACAGGTGACGTCTTGGTGACACATCCCGTCTTGGTGATAACTCTCTCCTCAGCACAGCCTCCTTTCGTGGGGAAAGATGCCTCATAGGCGAAATATCTCTTCGGGGTGACAGATGCCTTCTGGGTGACAAATCCCCTTTTGGCATTAAATACCTCTTTGGTGAGTTATCTCTGTAGGGTGAAGAATCATAGCCAGGTGACGATTGTCGACTGGAAGGTGAGAGGTCCCTTGGAGATGAACTGGGGTCTAAGCAAAGTGTGTAATCCTCATCCATGCAGCTAGGTATGTCCAATCTGTCTTTATCAGGTTCTGAATCTGTACTCTTACTCTGGAAAAACCTCTGATATTCTGTCATTTGTGTATCTTCACAGGAGTCGCTTGGTGTTATAAGCTGAGTAACCTGAATGCTAGGTAAGGTGACCAAATAACTGATGAGGGAAGAGTGTCCCACTGAAAGGGAGCCCTCGGGGGAAGCCCTCTGTGATGCCCCAGCTGAGTTCACGGACAAGGAGGAGAATCGAGGGGGCTGCGGGCTGGTGCTTCTTGATCTGGTTTTTGGTGTCGAGTCTCCCTGAGTATCATCAAAATCATCCTCATCTTCATCATCATCATCATTGTCATCGCCATCCTCGCCATCTGATTCCTCCGCATCAGAAAACTGGTGCTCTGCTGACAGGCCTGCCAGGTTGCTGCTCTTCTCTGCCTCCTGCTGCATGTCCTCCATGTTTTCTGAAATAGCCACAGCAAGTCAAAATGGTGAGCACATACCCCACCTCTTACACCTTATGCCACATTCATCCCCCACCCACTCATTGTCATTGCTGGATGCTCTTCATCTGGGATGGCTGCACAAAGCTATTCTTCATAGTCTGAAACCATGTTTTTTCAAAATAATACCTTAAAACCTTATCCTTGAAAGGAAGTATAAAAGCAAATTCACCCTACACAACTTCACTAAACGTTGCCATCTCTCACATTTTAAGTAGAAAGATTGGGAACTTTGTATGAGACAGATGACAATAGGCCACACTTTTATTTTTAGCTCCTCTGCATGTATCTTAATAAAAATGTAACTCGGAGAACTGAATAGGATTTATTTTTTATACTTCCTGTTTATTAAAAAGATACCTCTTAATTAAAAAATGCCCCAAATACTCTTAATATCCCAGTATTAGCCAGGCACTGTGCTAAAGTGCAATGAGTCATTTGCATACTCCAGAAGCCATTCCAACTAAATTAAATCATTCTGACATACCTGCTTCTTCAGTTTCAGCATCATCTACAGATGTCATTGATACTCCAAGCTCCAGGCATTTTTTCATGTGTGCTTTAGACTTCATATGTTTTGTCAGATTTCCTATGGATCAGAGATTAATCTAATTAATGGACAACAGCAAAGATCACTCTTCAAGTCAGGTTTCAGTGTATCTTAACTCTGTTATCCTGCAGATGACAGGTTTTAGCTTTAAAAAACACCACAACAGACAGGTCTGACTCATCCAACCCATTACCCTCAGAGCCTGTTCTAATGAGAACAGATTCTTATATCTTAAGAAAATAAAAAATTCCAATAAACTCAGGGTCTGAAAGGTATAAAGGCAGCTCTCCAATTTTCCACGTGACATTTAGGCACCCCAGCAAGCTACAAAACTAAGTTCTGGATGTTATCTATTCCTGGTCTCAGTGTTCATAATATGTACAGACTGTCCAGACATCAAAGTAAGTCCACTGCACAGCAGCCATTCAGGGTTCACACTCCTAGTTACGCTGTGGTACTTTCAAGATAAGGGTTCTTCCATTTACCTCACATGTAGGTTCCAAATGTTCAGAGTATTTGAAGCATTTTGAGGTAAAAATATCCTACCAACTTCTCTATGCAATTTTACCATCTAGCTGCAATCTCTCAACTGAGAGGAGCTGTACTTGCAGCATTCACCTGGGATGTGGGAAATTCAGGTTCAGCTCCCAGATTTAAAGTACGGATTTGAATCAGACAGAGATTTGAAATCAGATCTCCCATTACCCTGAGGGAGCAATCTAACACTAGACTATTGACTTTCTGGAGTACCTGTCTTGGTCTGTTTTTTCACAGATAAGAAAACTGGGTTGAGACTGGCCCCAAGATACATTTCATGACAAAGAATCTTGAGCATAAAGCAAAGCTGGAGAATATCACTCTAATCCATTATCCACTTCAGTCTCATTTGCAATGCACAACAGGGAAAGCATGGCACAAGAAAACCCAACCCACTACCAAGAAACGGTGCTTCTTAGCTCAAGCAAAGCCCTCTGTCAATGCATTTATGCTGCTTGTGGGACCCCAAACAGCATCTCCAGATGGTGTGTGTGGCACATGCAACCTGGGCGCAGGAACACTGCACCACTCTGCTGGATAGTGGAGGTGTGCTTAGAAGCTCACAAGTCAGGCTCTTCTTCTTTGACATTCAGTCACAGCTAGTTCAAATAATTTCCTTGTCAGTAGGAGTTTCTTACTGTGCCTGTGCACTGCATGAAAAGGCTAACTTGGCCATTGATGCTTCTGGATAACTAAATGCTCAGAGTGTACAGTGAAAACCTAAGAGCCTCTGAAAGTCTGTCCCCTACTGCTCTCAGCAGAATAGCAATAATAGTTATGAGGCTGACAACTGCTCATAAGCAGTAATACACCAATTAAACACTTCTTGTACCTCAAAGGCTAACTTAGTCTCTTCCTACTCATGCCCTTCTTGTGCAATAGCATACCACCTCCTCTGTGTTTCTTCTTCTCTGACAGAAATGCCAGCCTCAGCAAGCAATTTCACATTTTTTTTCCACGCCATCTCCTCTTCCTGGAATGTCCTCTATGAACACAGCTGTAAAACCACAGTACTCCTTCAAGGTCCTCCTTAAGACCCATTCCTCCATCAATGTCAAATGTAAGCAATGATATGAGAACAGCTCACCAGATGGTCTATTGGGACGACAAACAAGCAGCTCCTTGTCTTTGTCTCTACATGCCCATGAAAAGTTCTCATCTGAAATTAGGTTGATGGATCTACTACCATCCATCAGTTATTCCCATCTTTGGCACAGGAAGAAGTGCTGGAGTCATGGAAACTATTACAATTCTCAATGCTCAAAACAGCCATGAAGCTGTACTGGGATCTTGGGAGAAATTTCCTTCAACTTCCTTTCTCCCCCTTCAACTAAGTTCACTGCACTGGGACCAGAATCTATTTCCCTTGTCTGCCAAAGGGAAGCTAAGAAACTGAGAATGTAAGGCTCATTTGGCTGTGCTACAAAGAAATGCTACCAGAGGGAAGGATTTTTTCTTTTACGGAGATGGTTGCACCACAAATCTAAATTCCAAAGAATATCATTATCTGTGGCCTCAGGGTGACAAATGGAAGCTTTTTTCTGTGCTGATAAATACATGTGAACAGAAGCTATCAGATCTCTATTCATAATTAATGCCACAGTGGATGGAGTAGCCCATCTGGGAGACATACATTATTTATAAACTTGAAACTGACCCACTGTAAAGCCCATGAAGGCATGTTTCCCTCAGCAGCTGATGCTCTGCTTCTACATTATGTCATAACAAGGGTACTCTCCTGGTAGCATTTAAGTGTTGCTGCAATTAAAATTTGCACTATGTAACAATGTTGGCAGAGTATTATTTTTCAGGGGAGTTCTTATGCTACTACATTTTCTCTGCAGACAGAAGGACCAGTCAAGAGCCTATAGCTCTTAATGAAGCTATTCAAGGAGTCTCGGAGTCTCACAACATCCCTGGATCAATTGAACAGAAGCAAACAAACTCTCTCATACAGTCCTGTACACACAAACACAATATTTCTATTGTGAAGAAAATTTTCTTCTTGATTGCAATAGATGCTTGGATGCTAGATGGCAAAATACCCAGAAGTGGCAAGAGTTCAGCAAAAAGGGTCAAGTACCTTTAGTTTTGAAGGCAAAGTTGCACAACTTGCATACGTAAGGCCGGACATCAGTATGAGTGCGGATATGTTTTTTGAGCATGCTTGGCTTTTTGCAGCGAATGCCACATTCTTCACAAATGTACTTTCCTCGGCCACGACCTCTGACATAGACATAATCCTCATTTGATTTATACCTGTTGGAAGAGAGCAAGTATTTAAATCATACAGACTCTAGGTCTCATACATGTACAAACATCACCTCTGTGCATCTGATCCTGATCCTGTATATATCTCATCAAAGCAAATCCACAGAAATATAAAAGAACTACTGAATTTTCACTCTGGAACTCACAAAGTATTGGCCTTTTAGTGAATGCACTGGTCCCAGTGTCTTTAAACAATCTGAGACCAACAGGTTGCAGTATGAGAATAGTATAAACATCCTGTCAGGAAACTGATGAACCTACAGACACCGCACAACTCCAAATATAAGCCTGCGGGTTTCATTTATTTCAGGTAAGTGTAGTCTCGTACAACATGGACATTTACCACCACTGAAAACAGCACTGTTTTGCAGCACAATTCATTTAACTATTTTAGCGTATTTATCCCTTGGGATCAGATAAATCACATCCTGGAAATGCCCATTTCTTTCCCTCAAGCATAAAGGGAATGCAGATGACGAGCAAGGATGTACACATTTACACTACAGATGCCTGACGTTCCCAAAGATAAATCTCTCCCTAAAGGAACACAGAGTTGAGTTCACTCAGGTACCCGATGCTTTAGAAATAAAATGGGAAACTTCCAACACGGCTATTAAAGGAATTTTTCTTAGCACAGGCATAAGCTTATCAATCATGCTATTTTTGCTGATTACATACTCTGTAGTTAGAAAATAAAAAAGATATGCAAATCTATGTAAAGCTGTACATTGCCTTTATTATCATGCTAAATCATTAATACTGAAATCTAAAAGTGTCCAGGGAATCTGCTCAGGCTGTTCTGAGGTTTGAAGAGTGCTGGGCATTCCTTCAGGGGAGAATTCCATCCAAATACAGAAAGTGTAAGAACTGAGAAATAATATTTTTTCTGCCCTCTGTCCTCCACTGCCCTCTCCCTAAGCAGCACTTTCAGTCACCCCATGGATGCACAGCCCACAAACTGTCTTTGGTACTGACAGTCAGTACCTTAAATAAGAAAGGGACTGTGAGAAAGATTCTGCTAATGAGATGATAATTCTGCAAGAAGTAAGTTGCAATTTTTGCGTTACAGAGCTGAAATATTTTTTCAAGTGTGCTTTTCTTAGATGAACACTTCTTCCATATGTTCAGCTATATCACTGGCAATATCTATACTGAGGTTAATATCTTAGAAAAACATAAAACAGTCTCCTGTTCTTATGTCCCTCTTGTTATCTATTAAACACATCAACTCCTCTTTTAGATGTGGATGCCTAAATTCAGGGCGTTTTATCTCATTTCCAATAAAGTTGGTCCTCTCTCTTTTCCTTTATTGTTCCTAGCACCATGGGCAAAACTAGCATAGTCTAATGTAATTTAATATTTAGTCATCTCTCTGTTTTTCTGTATAACATTTCTGAGATTCTGCTTTTCTCTGCCCCATTTCCCAGGTTCTCCTTCATATACATGTCAGTGATTGCAAGTCATCTCTCTATCCACCGCTTCATCAACTACCTCCAGGCTCTCTCCCACAGACAGAAAAAATGTCCATTATTGTTTGAAATACTGCCATTTTATCTTCTTTATCTCTCCTTACAGTCTGATTTTGCTGGGATGAAATCTACCATATCACTTCTGATTGATACTGATAAGATAAATGCTGTGTTATAACGTGCTTTTCGGTTGCTCCATCTCTGCTGTTCTGCTTGACCTCATTCCACTGGCTTCTGTCACCTGTCAGATCCCATTGGGCACAAAGACAATAATACAAGATCTGTCCCTTCATCATTCACATAGATGGTTTTTGGCCATAACTGACCTTGACTCTTTAAGTATGCTTCATCATAACAACAACCGTATGAGAAATGATACACACAAACTTGACATTTAAAGAAAGCCTGATCCAAAAAGTAAAAGACCAGAAGACTGAGTCTATGGCGATTATCTTTTAGCCCTCAGGCATATTAGATCTTACTATTTAACTTGTGCCTCTCTCAAAGGTTTGAGTAATTTCCCACCTTCTACTACATGACATTCACGTAAAGACTTTGGTCACTGCTGCTCTGTGTTTGATTCAACTGGGACTCTTGAGTTAAAAAGCATTAACAAGTCTCAGAGTCCCACAGTTTCTATCCAAAATGCTATTTATTGGGATTTTTCAGTTCAAGTCTATTACTGATAGATATAAAAGAGCAAACATAAGCAAACTGTGAACTCTTGTGGTCAGCTGATAATGTTATTAAGCTAGATGTCAGGTGAGCAGGCACGCTTGCCCTGTCCCTCCTTTCTTTTCATGCCATTAGTAACTATTTGTACTACAGCAAGTGCTGAACTTCAAATTACTGCTTGAGGAACATTGCTTCATATCCTATCAGGATTTTGCAGTCACAGACAATGGAAAGCAGATTTTGTGATTCAGATAGTTTCACCTGAATCAAGGAACCTGCCAGAGGTAATAATATGATGGTTAGTTTCTCCCTTCAAAACCCCCTCTGATGCAATGTTTACAAAATGCTCCTGATGGGTTTTAGTTCAGAGAGGTGGTGATGTGCTCTGACATCTGGTGGTACTAGGCTGATGGGTGGATGATCTTAGAGGTGTTTTCCAACCGTAACAATTCTATAATTCTGTCATCTACTTTTTGTCTCACCTGCATTGATTCTGCTCCTTCAGCTTCTCACTCATCCCCAGTCCCATCTATTTGCTTTTTCCCCAGTTGCCATACAAGCGCCCCACCACCCGGCACAAAGCAGCTGCACAGCTGCACTTCACTGCCAGGTGGACAGGCTTTCCCACAACCCAAAACCTGACAATAACAGATCTTTCTCAGCTATGGATTCTGAATTACCTTCTTTGCACCCATGAAGCAAAAGCAGTCACAAAGCCTAAGGAAACCCACTCCCCATGACAACTGAAAATCAAAATGAAAATACACTGCTGAAACAAGATATCACTGTGCACATTTATCTGTACAGGAGAGAAAATGTGAAATGAAGATGACTGACATTTGTTACATAGTTCCTTGCACTACTTGCTGAGAGGAGATGAAGATGAGCTTGACAAGAGTAGAACAGAATAGCTCTACCAACAGAAAAAAAAAAGCAAGAATGGAAACCCACTCATGTAAAAAACTAGCTTTCAGAAGTCATAAACAACAACCTGAAGAGAAGGACAAATTCAACAACCAGGACAGAAAACAATGCAAGATATGGTAATAATATCTAAGTTATATTATATCCACTTAAAAAATAGCCAAACTAATGAAAAGAATGAATCTGTTCTTCCACAAATAATTCATGTAAAAGGAATCATAAAATGATGATGCATAAAAAAAGAGTGGACCTATTGACACTGCATCACCTCATTTGCTGTAGTTTTGCATGTTATATGCTTCTGTGAGGAAGCTCCAATCTATTGCACAGACTTTTGTTCTCCCCACTCTCCAAAAATTTATGTGCACGCCAAGGTTTCGTTTTACTCAAACAATATCTAAACATAGTCAAGTATTACTAGGAGATATTTCTAGGTGAAGTGTGAATTATATGAGTTTACAAAAATAGTTTCATAAATCTTACTGGCGTACAGGAAAACTCAAGGTGGTGTAAGTAAAATGCAAAATTTCTTAAAGAAGGTATTAAACAGTAGAGGCTTTTTATGGAGTGATCTCCTGCAGTTCACACTGATCTGAATCCTCCTTTAAGTTGCTTTTCTTAACACATTTTTACTCTTCTGACCTCTCATCACGCAGCTTACATCAGTGCAGACTGTCTTCAGCAAGGTCATCCAAATTCAGAAATGATACATAGTGGGAAGCAGGCAAATTTTATACTTCAAAGTGGGTGTGAGTTGAAGCAACAGCTCTTTAAATTTTTCATAAACTTAGGCTCACCGCTGAATTTGGGTCACTCTTTTAAAGCCAGTCTACTGGCTTGGGTATGACAAGGTACAGCTACAGAGAACAGTCAGGATCAGGGTGTTTGGGCCAGCATACCTATAAAAATCTCCAAAATAGCTTTTTCAGTCTTTCGAGCAAGATGTAGGCTATACTCCTTCAGTGTTGCCGACTATAGAGAAGTGCCAATGTTAATTTCATGGAGACTATTCAACCTTAGTGAAAAACATGTCAATGAAGGACAATTGAAATTTTAAAGGGTACAAACTGACAGGAGAAGGAAATGGAAATACGAATTTCTCACACCTCCCTCTTGAGCTATTTATTTACCCCAATAAAACAGTGCTGTGAGACCATCTGAGTTTGGTAAGACTGAAAAACACACCTTGTTCAGCCACCTGACTATTCTCTACTAAAAACTGGCAAATTAACTGCATTGTGTCAGAATTCTGTAAAAGAAACTAAACAATATTTTAGAGCATACTGCAGAGACAAGTATCTATCTCATTTTCTTTTCATAACAAGTTTCATAAGCCTCAAAACAATGTTAATGGGCTCTCAAGTCTCCTTTTCCCCTCTTTGTTTCTATTATCACTTGAGTGATAGATTGCCACAGTAGAATTAAACATTATTTTATCAACCATATATGGAGTTGGCTTAGATACCATAGACTTCATTGGCATCTTACATTTTATCTCCAAAATCCAACCTCAGTAAATAATGAAGTATTACAAGAATAAGACTAAGCATGCAGAGTCAATCCATTCAAGCGACTGGAAGTATACAGCATCTAAAAATGGAAAGACATCCTCCTGAAGGCCTTTAAATACAAAGACAGGGTATAGAAAATATCAAATTGTTAACAGTTTATCAATTGCCCTATGACCTAAGGAATTAAAGTAACAATTTCGAGTGAGTGCTCTCACACAGATGGAAAACATAATTGTCCTAGTAGTAAAGTTGAGCCCAAAGTAAGTATACAGGTATCCTGCAGTTTGTTTTAAGACTGACAAATACACAAAAAAAGGAGAGGCTTAGGAGCTACAAGACATGGCAAGAACACAGGAGACTGTTCACATCCTAATTCATTCATATTCACTTTCAAATGTCTTTAAAATGACAGTCTGAGCTTGAAATTTCCAGTTATATTTTCTTACCCTCCTTCAAAGATTTTAATTCGTATCGGCTCAGTTTGTTTGGATGTAATGTCTTTATCTCCATGAATGTCTCCTTTTACTCTTTCTTTAATAATATTCCCCACTACTTTCTTTTCAAGCTTGCTGCCAAACAAGAAGAATGGCTCGTGTTTCATCTGTAGAACAAAGTCAAGGAAGGGTGTTACTGCTGGAGCACACAATAAATGCACACTTCATTTCAAATACTTTTAACATTCCATGTCAAAGCCAAACTCTCATTTTGGTGCAATTCTATACGATGAACTAATCTGTCCCATTTAATTTGACAGAGAATAAGTGAGGAGGTAACATGGACAAATTTTTATGAGAGTCTTGACAGAAAAGACAATACTATATCTTTCCTCAGAAAAAAAAATCATGGAAAAGAGAGATGGAAAAGCCTCAGAAGGTATTGCCGTTACAGAATTTTCCCTGGCACCATCATCTAATGCTTAATCTATGAGTAAGAGCTGACATGTAAAAGACATTAAAAGGATCTAAAAATCCTTACTCAATTTTAACTTAATCTTTACTTACAAATGCACATGGATATTTGCGTCTGATACTGTTTGAATCAGGACATGGCAAAAAGAAAGGGCAAAATAAAAGGAGATAATGTATCAGGCTCTGGCACAAATGAAGGGAGGGCTTTAAAAGCCTCACTTCTTACACCTTATTTTGAAAATGGAGACAGAGACAGAGATAGCAGAAGTAGCAGAGCTTGCGGAAGGATAAACTGAGGCTCAAAACTTGTAATGGATGATTTCCCAATGGGGAATCTTTTTTTTTAAAAAAAAACACATTAACTTACATTTTATGGTTTACTAGAAATTTCTCCTATAAAGATATATGAATTTAATTTTATTAAAATTTCTTATTTACCTGAGCAAACTGCTTCCATGCACTTGATGATGTCAGTTTACCAGCTCCGGGTCTATGCATAGCAGCCAGAGTGTAGATTTCCGTGGTGTTTTTTTGCTTGGACCTTAAAAGTGCTAAAGTGGTCTTTGTACTTAACCCAGATGGGTTTGGGTTACATGAACTTATACACCACGAAGCATAAACAGAAGCTTTGAGGGTTGGTTGCTGAGTGTAATTTGGTTTTGTATAGTTTAAGAAACACCAGCTCACAGTAGTAGTAGTACGCAGACTTGGGAACTGAAGGATCTGCTGGAAATCTGCTACGTCTGTCAGGAGGATAGTTGAGGCTGTGACTTTCCCAACAGCATTAGATGACATCTGGACTAACATCCCAAGAGGCAATTTTTGATGTTTCAGCTGGTCTTCTGTCTGAATTTCTCCTGGTGGCAATGAAGACCTCTGTGGACTCATGCTCATATCTGAGGCTGTTTCATCCACGTCCAGTTCTTCTGGTGAGTCTCTCCCTTCAGATGGGACACTGGACTTCTGTGCCGGTGATGTGGAATCAAAACTGGAAAGTTTCTCTCTGCTCAGTGGGAAAGCATCAGCTTCTGGCATGCTGACAGGTGGGAAATCTTGAGATGATGAGGATGACAGTGAAGAAGAGGATGACATGGATGGCAGACTTTCTTTTGGCTCGGTAGCACAGCTCTGCCTTACTAGTTGAGGCTTCTGCATTCTTGGAAAATCTTTCTTTATATCTGAGTTAGTTAACTCAACTGCACTTAGTTCCTCAACTATCTGCCCATACATTTTTTCTTCTTTGACTCGTTTCTGCTGCTTGGTCTCCATGAAGAGCTCCAAGCTGCTGGCAGGTGAAAGCATTCGTTTGCTTCCTCCCAAGGTAGAAGCCATGTCAGAACTCGAAGGCAAACACAAGGGAATCGGTGGCTCCAGTCCAAGTGGTAGCGTCTGTGGCATTTTCCACAAAGGATATTTTTCTAGTCCTCCATGCTGACCCAGCATCTGAGCTATGTTAAATCCAATTCCTTGCATGGTTGCATTAGTTACCAATGTTCTTTGAGAAACTGTCTCATCAACTTTACAAATTACAATTGCAGGACTGTTGCTCTGTCCAAGGATCTGGGAAATGCTTGTGTACATGACACTACCATAAGATGGCACATGGGTTTGAATCCTGACAGGAACAACTGTTCCTGGCAAAGACTGTACAGATCCATCACTTGGGGAGTCAAAATCTGTCTGAAGATGCTGCTCAGAGGAGGTATCTGTTGGTTTAATGCTATGGTCTGACTGGTACTTAGCAAGAGTATTTTTTGAATACTGCCCAGATGTTCCTGAGTAATGCTGGTATGCTTGCTCTTTAGCGTGCATATAATCAGCTGCTTTCTTTCCTATAAGCTCTGGTGCATGTTCCAGGTGATAACTTGGATGAATGTCTGTTTGGAAAGGCTGTTTGACATAAGATTTCTGCAGCTGTTGTACAAATTGATGCTGGAAGTTCAGAGGTTCTGTGCATGACTGCCACAAGAGAGGCTGCTGAGATGGTGGTAGGTGAACCATGCAGACAGCTGGATAGGGAAACTGAAATAAGGTGCTATGAATAGGGGAGAATGGGACTTTTTCCTGATGTGCAAATAGCTGCTGCTGCTGCTCTGATGGATGTTTGTTAGGAATATAAGGTGCTTGTTGGATTAAGGGAGTCCTTAACATTTCCGGGCTGTCTGCAACAAGAGCCTGTTGCTGAGCAAGGTGGGATGAGCTATTACTAAGCTGAGCACAAGAGCCAATAGCCTGTTTTCCAGAGTCATCTACCTGAATAGGCTGAAGTACAGAGGAAGGGGAGTGATGCCAGGCAAGCTGGGAGGAGCGAAGACCAGCCTGTGAGTGTTCCATCTGTTCCTGCTTTATACTTTGTTCTGTGCTCTGATCAGTCTGAGAAATCTCTGGAAAACCACTGAAGGAAGCCTGGCGAACCAAGAAGCATTTCTTCCTTTCTCGGGATGGAGACAGTGCCAAAGTAGGTGTCCCAGCTGAAGAGGCATGAGACAGGTTCCCATAATCAAAGGATTTACTTCGGATCTCTGGGATTTCAGCAGCATGAGGGCAGGGCATCTGTTCAGATGAGCAGCGTCTCATTTCCCTCTGATGGTGATGCCCAGGGACAGAAAGTGAGTAAGCACCAGCTGGAACTGTTAAAAACTCGGACTGTTTTCCAAATTCATCTTGTTTAGGAGGTGTGATGAACTTCATATTCTCTTCTCTTTCAAAGGACATTGAAAAACTCGAACTGTGGGACAAATTACTTTCTTGGCTAGGGCTGCGAGAGAGGCTTGTACCTGTGGACTCAAAGCTGGATTCTCCAGAGGAGTGCTCCATGTCAGCAAGTCGTAAACGCTTCTTTTTGGGTGGTAGCTTTTCAGCTGGAAGTTGAGAAAGGGTTTCACTTCTCTGGGGCCATTGAAATTCTTCAGTGGGTCTCTCCTGGTCTTTACTCTGCACTTCTTTATCTTTTTCAGGCTTATCTGGCTCCTCTGTGACACGAATTTCAGGTACCTGTATGTTGTGCTGGCGAACCAACCTGGGCTGCATATGACACGGCTGAGGCTGCTGGGATGGAGACGGCTTACTGGTGTCAGCACTTTCCATTTGTGGAGCTCGGTCTGGGCTCATTGGGGACTCACAAATCTCGCTCTCACATGTTTCAGATGGTGAATAGATCTTTTCCTGCTGGCATGCAATATGTTCTGTAGATTCAGACCTTTCAAATGAGTTTGGCCTACTCAATGAATTTGTATGCTGAATGACAGAGATGACATTTCCAGGGGGCTTTCTAAACAGTGATTCTGCAGTCTTTTCTTGCTCTGCAGTTAAGGATGAATCTTCCAAAGAAGCTGCTGGGCTTCCAGACTGCAAGTAAGGCCTGCAGATTTCAAAACGCTCCGCATGGCAATGGGGTGCATTGTCCAGGCCTTGAAGGGCAAATCCGCTTCTTGGCACTTCCTGAATTTGGGATTTGGGATCAAAGTCTAAAGGTTGAATCCCCCCAGTGGTGCCAGGTGTACTGCTGCAAAGCATGGGACTATCTTCCTCATCTCCAACACTCTCCTCTTTCCTACGCTTTCTGTTTTCAAAAGTTGTTCCAAGCATGGATGGCACTGACTGAGATTGCCCAAGTGGATCAATAAAAAACTCTCCCCCCTTGTTCATCCCACCTAAGGATGGTGAGTCCCTGTAGTTCTGCTTCTGAGCTTCAAATTCTTCCCACTTTCTGTAGTGCTTTCCACTGGCATCATAATCATAAAAGGTCTTGTCTCCTTTCTTCTCTTTTAAGGATGGTCCTTTGTCACCTGCTGTCTGTCTGCTGGAAGCAGTAATGATATTTTTCCCTGGTCTTCCATGATAGTCTGAATCTGAGTGCCCCTCCTGTACAGACGGCAATTCAAAGGCAGCCTGTCTTCTCAACATTCTTTGGTGGGATATTCCCACTGTCCCAGGGTAAAATACATCATCAGAGCCAGTCATCTTCTCATCAAATGAATGGCTTCCTCTCAGAGATGGAGGAATACTTAGGCTGTTTGCAGAAGAGGTTGGCATGGAGTTACTTCTAATAAGAGGAGAGGAATCTACTGGGGGCTCTAGAAGGACAGACACATCACCCTGCTGACTGACTTGGTACAAGTTGGTTTCACTTTTGATAGATGATGTGGTGATCTGGGATTGTCTACATTCTGTATTGCTGCCTGGATAAACCTGTGCAGATTTAATAGTGCTCAAATTAGTAGAATCAACAAGTTCATCTTTATTTGGAGTCAGCTGAGAAATATGTTCCTCAAGCATCTTGATATCTAATCTGTTATTTAGAAGAGGTGATGGGTCCGTTTTGCCCTTTCTACCCATTAAAGTGTGTTCCTGATTTGTTGTGGCTACAGTTAGTGCTGTCCTTTGATTAATCCTATAGAACTTCCCAAAAATTATCTCTTCATAAGACTTTGCATTAGTATTTGGTGGGCTAATTTGCTGCTCAGCACTTTCTGAGCGGGAAAAATAACCAGAGTCAGTGCTTCCTTTACTGTGTGGGCTCAGAAGGTTTAGTGACTGCTCAGAATCTTGTCCTTTTTTCTCTGACAATCTTAGTGCAAGTCGCTGTTTAACTGTATGAGAGTCATCAGACTTGGTACTTAAGGATGGGGTTTGCAACATATCAGAGCCAATATATGAAGAACTCTCACTGGGTAACTGAATCCCACTTTTAGGGATAATCAAAATGGGCACTTTCATCGGCCCCACCAAAGACTCTTCCATGGAGGAGTGAAAACCACTCCTGCTAGCAATGTCCAAGGGGAGCTGCGAAACAGGGCTCAGTTTGTCAGACCCTTCCACTAGGAGCGAGGTCTCCTCATCAGTGTCTGTGCTCTGCTCACCATCTGAATGTATTTCAGCTTCCACATCAATGTAACTGGCATCGAGATCCAATTTAGAGACTGCTGACTCTGTGAAAGGAACCAATCCCGCCTTAATTGCATGGGCATGTGACTTCCTGTGTTTGTAAAGGTTGCTTTTCGTCTTGAAGGAGAAACCACAAGGAACACAAGGGTATGGTCGCTCACCAGTATGAGACCTAATATGCTTTTTAAGTACACTAGGTTTGGCACAGGCCCGATTACAGTAAGGACAAATGTATTTGCCAGGCTTTTTGGGTTTGTGCTCCTTTTTGTGAGCATCTTCTGATTGTTCTAAAGATTTTTGTGAATATTGGCTGTATGCAGGGTTCAAACTTGAAATCTTCTTCCTGGAGAAACCTCCGCTATGGCTATGCATATGAAAAGGAAACAAGTCCTCTGAGGCAACTGATTGCAAGTGGCTAGGAAACTGCCACGGAGGGCCTTCCAAGCTCTGATGTGGCTTTATGTTGTGCAAGAAGCCTTGTGGCAATGAATGCTGTGGGAAAGAAAGTGAATGTTGACATGAATAAGGACTTGGACGATGCTGTGGATATTGCTTCTCTGTGACTTGCTGTGCAGCTTCATTTGATGATACCAGTTTCCCAGAACTAAAAAGTTGTGCTGATGCCGTGTTTCCTATTTGCTCGTGATCTACTTGTGGTTGCCTCTGTACTTCTTGATTGCCAAAAGTGCTCATCTTAATAACAGCTGTATGTTCTTGCCTCCATCTGCTTGGTACTTTAGCAGTTTCTCCAGACCTTGAGGTAGCTTTTTGTCCTATAGCTGTGTCCCCAGAGTCCATCTTATTACACAAGGTCTTAAGTGCTAGTTCACTTGAAAGCTGTGCAGACACATGGAGTGTGTCCAAAGCTGTGCTTTTTAAAGTTTTGTTGCTCCCATTTTTCCAGGGCTGCTGCAAGTTCACAGACTTTTCTTTCTCTTTGGAACTTTCCACGCAGTAGTCTATAGGCATTAGATTTGTATCTGTACACTAATGTGAGTATTATACAGTTCAGTTCATGGCATGAACTTTTCTAAACAGTTTATTATACATTTGCAAAGACTTGCTATAGCATTTGGACATTTTCCATTGTTATTAAATACTGAGATGCAGAATGACCCAAAGATATTTGTGATCTCCTAGAGCAAAGTTCTGTTCATCTCTTCTATGGTGACACAGCTATCTGCACAGAAAAACAAAGAAAAAAAAAGAAACCCCACACACCAATTAATACAGTCATACTAAACAACATCGCTGCAGTCAGTTGCACTTTTATTGAGCCTTACATGGAAGGTACTGAGGGACTTAAGCAAAGGTAACTACATTTCACAAAACTCCTCACAAAACTGTGAGCAGACACAGTAAAGACCGGCTCTGGAGACTACACACAAGCGTAATCACTACTCAATAACAGCCCTAGGAACAGAAAATAGAGATCTACACTTTTCAAATTAAACAGTAGCTTTGGAAGGCTTTCTGGGGACAGTTTAAAGGCTTGATCTCAGAAAGTCCACCACATACTTTCAAAGCTCTTTCAGCAAATCACTGCTGAAAATAGAATCCTAACACTGTGGGTGGGAATTACCTTATCCAGTATTACTCACCTACAGTTCAGACATGAACTTTAGTCACCTGGCCTTTCTTTAAAGTCAAAGGAGAGTAATCAGAGGAGAAATCTTCTTGGACTATATACCAAATTTTAAGATGGCTCAAGTGAGGTACTTCTTACCTTAGATCATCTAATTGATTTTACAAGAAGAGGTTGTTCCCCTTTTTAAACTACTTTTAAACAGTGAAAAAGGGACATCAAAGAAGCATTCAAACCAAAGCAATACTGGTACCTTTCCCCATCTCCATCTTCCAATCACTATATTAAATTTTAGTAAGAAAGTCTTGCTAGATGTAAAGCACGTATTTCAGAAATGAACTATGACTGTGTTTATGTGACTTTAGCATTCTAGATTTCACTGTTGAAACAGTTCCATCCAGCTATACATGCATTTTTAATGCCTAAAGGCAGTAGATTTCCACAGTTCTATTATAAAAAAGTTCAGAGGTACGATTTTCATAGAAAAGTACAGCATTTGAATTTGAACTACAATCTAGGCTTTCTGCTTCTGTATTATCCAAACACAGAATATTTTCTCAATGAAATAGTGAGAATTATAAAGACAGTAATGATTTAATAAGTAAGGAAAAGGGTAAAAGATCAGTATTAG